TCTTCCTCCTTTTCCCAAGGTCATTCCCACATATCATTACACAGATAAAACATCACACCATGCAGACAGCCCAGATGAAAATGTTATTATAAAGAACAGATTTCACAGAAAACAGGAGACTCAGAAATAGAATAATACATTCATACATCAACCGCAAGCTTGGCAGGAGCAAGCATACATTTTAACGATGGCTGGTGTGGATCTTCCGGGCTGTGTGGCCGTGTTCTTGAAGTTTTGTTTCCTAACATTTCACCAGCACCTGTGACCCGCCTTTTCCGAGGGCAGGGGCAAAGACAAGAGGCGGTTTCTCTTTGCCCCTCCTCCTCCTCCTCCTCCGGTCACAGGTGCTGGTGAAACGTGCTGCCTGTTTGTGCAAATTGCTTAATTGTCCTGAAAAAGGATGTGATCAAATGAAATGGAATCTGGCCCACAAAATAAATAATCAGATTATCAGACTTTAGAGATCTACAAGACAGTTAAAGTCTATTTCTCTAGCTCCACCTTCCCCACTTCCTCCCTGTATAAAACTACAAGAGCTTCCAAAACTGACAATTGTGTATGTAAAATAAATAGCAGTGCATAATCCATCTTCTGTTAAATGATTCAATAATTAAATCCTCACCACATTCAAAAGTATGTGCACCCAATTAGTTTACACCCACAATTTGTTTGCTTGCTTGCTTGTTTCATTGGGAGAAATAATAGCATGCCTGCATCTGGACAACAGTAAAATGTCAAAGTGCTTTAGTTCAGCCCTATAATCAATCTAAAATGATTTTAAAAAATAGAAGTGCAAAGTGAGAATTAGGTTCTCAATTCTTAATATGAACATTTGTCAATATTGACATGGTAGAGTGTTCTTTTTTCCTGGTGATGAGTAATAGATGCCACCTAGGTGATGCCTCTAAGGTCTCCTTCCCAGTGGTACCATTACTTTATTTAATGAAGATTTCAAAGTTATGGTGTCCCTACCTTGAGGTCATTCCTCATCATATTGATGGAAAGAAAAACCAGATACCAGCCCAGGAAAAATCAGTTAGGAGAATCTACTGAGACCATGCAAGAACAACTGGGATGATGGTAATAATTTCATGTTATTTCATGTTATATTATAACATTTAATCATCTTCTTTCTTACATGTAAGAGTTGTAGAGCTAAATTAAATCAATGAATAAGTAAAAGAAATGGATCGTCACTGCATGGAAGAAAATGAATGAATAAGAAACTCAGTTCCATAAAAGTGCATGATATTTCTGCACCATCTCTTTTCTGAACAAAGGTAGCTGCAGAGAATAAGAACTGTGGTACATTAACATACAGGTGGATATTCAGTGATGGAAACAGATAAAAATATACTGCAAATCTTATATATTTGCTAGTAATGCTGAAGTATAAATTAGTACTTTTATTTATTTCACTAAAACTTTAGTGGACCTCAGTTCTATAGATTCCACTGCTATTAACACTTAGCTACTTAGAAGAGGCAATTATATTATGTAGATCTTATACATGGGGTGATCTAATTAAGTTCGGGACTCCTTTAATAGTACAGATAAATTCATTAAGCTACTGTATGTTATACTGAAAATGTATTCACTATAATTCTAACAACTGAGTCTTTTTCTTCTTCTTCTGAAGGGGCAGATAAATGTTGTAGGTGTTCAGCATGTTGGGCTACTATTCATAACTTTATGTAATCAATGTTATTGCTTTCTGGAATTCTAGAGAAACCCGGACACATCATTTTTTAATATAGTGCCTAAGGTTTTACTGAACAAAGAATAAATAACCATATTTTCCCAGTAAGTCATTATGTATGTAATTA